TACTCTGAGTGCCAGCCCACCAAGGGATAGAAGGCAATGAAAAAGCAAACAATCTAGCTAGAAAAGGAGCGAACGCTCCAATAACTGGACCAGAAGCGTTCTGCCTCCCATGTGGAAACCAACTTAAAGAGGAACTCAAGAATCTCAAGACTCCATCCGTAACCTGGAATGGGAGTCCAAGCGTCTAAGACACTCGAAGAAATTTCTCAGAACTTACGCCAGAGGAAAATCAAAGATGTTCTTTGATTTAAGTAAGAACAATCATCGGATTGTCACGGGGTTTTTAACAGGACACAGTGAACAATGAACAATGAATGCAGATTATGTGGGGAGAATGGCCAAAATGGGACCAAAACACCTTATCACTGAGTGCACCGGGAGTCATCTCTCAAATTTCTCAAACCATTCGTGCCGTAAACTTTGGTACGACTGATATAGGAGATGGAGAACTAACTTCTATAAAAGCGTCTCTGCTTTTGTCAAAGCACTGAGTCTGTATGGTGAGTTATTCAAGAAAGGGGATATTCAAACACCTATCAGTTTTAATTGCGGCTAGATAATACGAATATGAGGGTTATATTCGTATTTTACAACTGAAGATACAGAGGAAATGATCAATTCACTCTGTCGATATAGAAAAAAAAACAGAAATCAACGGTTATCATCTAATGGTCCCTTTACACGTTGGATCACAATAGATCTGTAAGGTGGCAGCCCCCCTTCCATAGGTTCTACAAAGTTTACATCAAACAACATAAACCAATTTACCTAAATTTAAAAAAAACTAACATTTCTGAATTACCTATGCATTTTTAATAGCAAAACATAAAACATAAAATATAACTAATACATTGAACAAGCTATACTAAATCAATACATATTTGAACATCAATAATTGCACTTTGAATGTGGTAGACAATGATTCAGTATTAAAACTAAAAGAATTTCGGACTTTCGTGTGGTCCCCATTGGAAAAAGCGCAAATTTAAAGAGGCCGTATTCATTTCTAACAATAATAAAATTTTAGCAATCCAAGTATGGAAATTTCAACAATATGGCAACCACTCATAAAACGCTCCAATGCAGGTATTCTTAGTGGACAAGCTAATGCTTGACTGCACCCAACTAATTCACGGGTAGTATATAGTTCAGTCATTGGGGATCAAAAAAGGGGCCTGCTTGGAAAAAAGTCCGGAAGTTTTGAAACTTTGCAGGTTTATAGGTTTTGGGGTTCCTAACTAAAATCCATAAAATTCACATTTACAGATTTGCCGCCGGCGCCGCCATCTTACCAAGATGGCGCCCAAAATCGGTATTTTGTAAATATCTCGAAAACTATGCGTTTTTCGCAAAAATTTGACGAGAGCAGAATTAAAAAGAATAAAATTGCCTATAAAAAAGGTTTTATGAAAATTTTCGCTAAAGTCAACCTTTTAAGCACAAAATCCCTGGAAATTTTACAATTTTGCGTAAAGTATGATATAATATGTATTGTCGATTTTCCGAAATCAAATGTCAATTAGGGTTCACTAAAACTAGTTTTAGTTTAGTTTCTTCAATTTTGTCATAAAACAGTGGAGTATCATTTTCATCAATTCGCTCATTAATTTATGAATAATTAGTTGTTGTGCTGGACAGCATTCATTGCGAACTTACCACCAGGTTCAACATTGGTCTGGTTATGGCAAAGATGCCGAAGAATGGGGTTGGAAGAAAACAAAACCAGGCATAACTTCAGTCACAACGTTGACAGATCCAGCTCCAAAATCCCTATTGGCATTTTTATCCTCTAAATGCAAAACCAACAACTGTGGTAAAGCCTGCGGATGCAGAAAATCAGGATTAAAATGTTCAATGATTTATGCATACTGCAATGGGAAATCCTGAGACAACGTCACTGAAGTGTCACTCGACGAATCCGATGAAGAGCAGTTGGACTTGCTTGTAGATATCCCTCTGGCGACTGAAGATGAAAAGTTGGACGACTTGAGAGACCACGATGATGAGCCCAGCACGGCAGGCACGATCGACTTTGACATCAATGAGCCAGGTCTGTCAGACTTGTGCAGATAAGTTAACGTTTTTAATTTACCTAGTGGAGTAGGCCTCCGGGAGACCACGTTAAAATAAAAGCGCCATGTACTTTACCTCTTGGGTGGTGTGGAAACAAGTACACATTTTCAATAATTAAAATTAATTATTCATAAATTAATGAGCGAATTAATGATACGCCACTGTTTCATGACAAAATTGAAGAAACTAAACTAAAACTAGTGTTAGTGAACCCTAATCGACATTTGATTTCGGAAAACCGACTATACATATAGGTATCATATTTTACGCAAAATTGTAAAATTTCCAGTGATTTTGTGCCTAAACGGTTGACTTTAGCGAAAATTTTCATAGAACCTTTTTTATAGGAAATTTTATTCTCTTTAATTTTGCTCTCTTGAAATTTTTGCGAAAAACGCATATTTTCGAGATATTTACAAAATACCGATTTTGGGCACCATCTTGGCAAAATGGCGGCGCAAATCTGGAAATGTGCATTTTATGGATTTTAGTTAAAGACCCCAAAACCTATAAACCTGCAAAATTTCAAAACTTCCAGACTTTTTTCCAAGCAAAAATCCCCAATGACTGAACTAATATAAGTTCAGTAGTTTCAGGATTTAGTTTACTTCACACTTGAGAACGGTCAGTAATACTTCTAACCGAAACGTTGTGTAACAAAAATAAATAAAGAGAATCAATCAATGGTCCGAAATTATTTGAGTTTAATATCAATAATTCGTAATAAACATTACAAGAACTTCAAAAAAGAAAACAAATAAACACAATAAGAAATAGCATCACAGTACATATATTTAGAAGTCGTTTAAAACATAATTAAAGAAACATCATCGAGTGACTTTTAAATTTTAAAAGCTGTCAAACAGATATCTGTCAAAATGACAATAGTTAATTTAATTAAAATGAGAGACAACAACTGTCATGGTCATGTTTCCTCTCGTTAGATAAGCTCTAGAATAAATCAGATTCCACACTGGTCATTAACATAACCTATATCAACAATTTTAAAAATTGTACAAAATTTTTTTTAAAAATTGTAACTCGAAAATTACAGTAGCTAACGAAACGCGGTTCTCAATTTAAGATTAGGAATAATATTTGCAACAAAATTTGTAATAACATCAAAATCAGAGCCAAAGTCGCAGTTTTTGAGATATTCCGTGTTTCAGTAGTCCGTTTTTGAGAAAATCCGTGTGGAGAACTCCAAACTCCCATCGGACGCGACCCCAGGTGGCGGATAGGGGTAATAACCGCTGACCAAAATTGGAAAAATTCCTTTACTTTGCAACTAAAAGAACTGCCTACCAACTTTTTATTAACATATTTTAGTATGGGCGGCTATACGTGCCTCCCGGCGCCATTTTTTTATAATGAGTAAAAGTGATTTTTAATTAATTAAGTTAAAAAAGATTTCTGTATCATCATATCATCATTTTTTAATCTTTCTAGAATTAGTGTTAGTTTTTGTTAAATTTTAAGTCAATTTTAGTATATGACGTAACTTCCCAGTTGACGTCTAGAGATTGACCTCACCAAAATTATCATGAATTGTCATTGCTCAGCCGTCTTTGACGCCGTTTTTTCGATCATACGGTATATTGCCCTGAGATTTTAACAAATATGCAATATGCAGAATTATTTATTGAAATTTATATATCTGGCAACAATGCAGTGTCATAGATCAACTCATCTATAAAATAAGTGGCACTAAAAAGTTTTGCAAAGTTTTTGAAAAAATAGGTAGGAATATAAAATTGTCAATTTACTTTCAAAAAAAGCTTGCTTTATATTAATTGTTTGTTGCTTTTGTCATTGTTTGTTACACAAAATATAGTAAAAAAAAAATATTGCATGAAGTTAAGAATCCCTCTTCAGGTAGGTGTTTCACTGAAATAGGTACATTTTGTAGAGGTACTACATTAAAAAAAATACTTTTGACATACGAGAGTAATAAATGTGTTATCTTTCGTCATTTGAAAAGGAGTCGTAATTGGTAATCGTTTATTCCTATAGGTAGAATTCGAGGTAGGTACCTATAATTATACCGTATGATCGAATAAAAACGGCGTCAACGATGGCTAGAAATGAAGATCGCTGTCATTTTATATGTAAAATTATATGGGAAATGTCATCGATCGTCATTTCCAAGCCAACTGGACGCTGTTTTTTTTTCGATCATACGGTACCTATACATACGCTATTGAATGGTATCAGAAATAGCGAAAATCATTAATACTGGTATTAAACAAAAAAGCGTTTTTTAGAAGGTACCTAGTACTTGACTTATTAATTTTCAAAATAGGTACTCTTGAAAACTTTACAAAATTATTCAGGGTTGGCGTTATCGTCTTATAAATGTTATTTTTTTCTTTACAGAAATATCGCAACAAAAACGAAAAATGGGAGCAAAACTTTCGCTAAATTGTCGCCGAACGCGTTGGGAAAAGTTTCTTGTGCTCCGCCCGCTTTAACCCTTCCCCCCATACTGGTAGTACTACAATTTTCATACAGACATGCTGGTACTCCAAACAGGTGACCGGCGCATATAAACCGAAACCAGCAACTTTTACGAACAATTTCTGAAACTATCCGCAGTCACGCTGGTCCTTGCTCTAAACAAATTAATGCTCACATCGATCCCCAACAAAGTAACTCGAAAACAACGAAAGATTTTTTTCTAAGAGCAAGATGGCGGCTGTTGTTTTTCAACTTTTCACCTCCCGGAAAATTCACATGGAAATCGTCAACCGCACGACCCACCGTAACAATTGAAGCAGCAAGAAAAAGAGCGTTCGCTTCTTATAAAGCAAGAAAAGGCATGGCGACCGAACATTAAACGACCGAGTTTACGTGAGCTATTTACTTGGCATAATGGCCGCGTATAATGTTCCCTACGGGGCCTACATAATAAAAAAAATCGTACTTACCAGTTGTCTCGCGATTTTGCTCTTGCCAGCTGACGAATTTTGCGACATTTTTCGACACAACGACGTAAAAATCGGAAAATCGGACGATGAAAGGTAAACCTCCACGTCTACACAGTACGCTTGGAAAAGCGCGACTAAAAATGTTTCTGGTCGATCGTGTTAGCCCCGACCTGTTATTCGACTTTTCGTCTCTCTTTCGCTCGTGGCGTTTACGATTCTTTGGATGTTTCGGCACTCGTCGGCGACGGGTCGTCAGTAGGTCGTAGATAGATTCTCGTTTACTGATGATTCCAACCGGTGTTGCCATAATAGAAATGTATTCCTAATATTGACGGATTTATTGTTATATAATTTTTTGTGTTAATAAATGTCTATTTCTTTCTTTATTCGGCTCGATTATTAGTAGAAACGATAGAATAAATTGACAATAAAATAAAAATAAAATAGATAGTTAAAAATAAATGCCACCAGAATTATTGGATTAAAATCGAACAGATACAAAAAAACTCTCCAGTGGCATTTATTTTGTGAACAAATTTGAAAAATTGGCTGTGATATACAAGGTGAGTCTTAAATAAGTGCAAATATTTTTAAGGGGAGTATTTCGACCCTAGAAATAAGCCTATGAGTTTTTTCGCAAAAAAAAGTTTTGAAAATTTGAAATTTTTTGATTTTTTTTTAAATTTTTAGTAAACAATCATAATATCTTGATAATATGGCAACATCGCTAGTAGATTTATAAGAAAAAAAAACACAAACAATCGAAAAATATATTTTTTTAAATTTTCAAAGTAAAAAACTCGGTTATTTTGGACTTCTTTGAAAAACGATAAAGAAAAAATATGTTTCTTTTATCGAGATCTACCAGCCCTGAAATTATTTGCAGTTATTTAAGACTCACCCTGTATACCGGGTGCGTCTCGAAAGTGGCTCACCCCTATAATTTTTTATTTTTTCAGATAAATAAACGAGATTTGGTGTGTTAGTATATGACATAAATTAAGATCAATTGACATATTCAATTGTTTCCGGTCACTTCCGGTTTCACCGGAAATGACTACAACTTTTGATTCTCAAATGGCATCATCCATATTTTTTTACTTTATTCGATAGAAAATGACACTCTGAATAGAATGACAAATCATATGTCAACTTTTGACATTTTCGCATATGGTTTATTTGAAATTATAAACATGCGGTTCATAACGACAATTTGACTTGAAATACCTAGTGTGTGGTATCAACTTATTCGTAAAAAAATGCTTTTTCCAAATATGCTAATGAGCCACCCTCGTTCCATTTGAAAAAATTGAGATATGATTAAAAATACGACTTGGGCATCTTTTAACCGGTCAGGACAAGACACTAGAAACATTAGACGCTCAAATCTATTTTTCCAAGGCTCCTTGATTAAAAACTAGTGTTTTTAACACAGCCATGGCACTCTAGAATGAAATTTAAAATACAATTTGTTTAGAGTGTATAACATGTCAAAAGTTGACATATGATATGTCATTCGATTCAGAAAGTTATTTTCTATTGAATAAAGTAAAAAACACGGAGGGTGCCGTTTAAAAATGAAAAGTTTCACCGGAAATGACTACAACTTTTGGTTTTATTATTACTAAACGTGTTATTTTTTTCGCAAATAACGAACCCTTTTATAACGAACTTTCGGATAAAACGAACCTTAAATTTTGATATGATCGTAAGATTTTTCTTTTATAACGAACCTAAAACGTTATTTTACTGCTCATGCCACCAAATACCAGTTCCAAACTACAAAATATGGATCAGGGTGTCATCCATAGCTTACAGAGCCATTATCGTCGACTTATTCTTTCGAAAATAGTAGGTACATTTTATTGATAGTGGGGGTAAATTTTTTTCTATCAACCAAACTTCATTCGTATGGTATGGCACGGTGGTATGGCAGAGGATATCAAAACAAACAATTTTTAATTGTTTTCAACACGGTGCCGGTCGGTGGTTTGAAAAGTGGAAAATGATTTGGATTCAGACGATGACTTGACAGTAGCCGAATGGCTGAAAAAAGTTGGACAAGAAGATGATAACAATATTCTAGACAATCTTCCTTGTTCTGTAAATGAGTTTAATGAATTTGTCCATATTGATGATAATCTTGTAAGTGTCGATACTTGGATGATGATACCATTATCGCTTCTGTGACTTCTTCAGTTTATATTGATGACGATATAAGGAGACGGAAGATTAAGAACCTGTTAGTACAGAATTGAGACCAGTTCCGACCACATCAGAAGCACTTCAACATATTGATAACGTTCATCATTTCCTTCAGTCACGAAATAGTCCGCAAAGTGTTCTTAATCAATTAGCCGAAGTAGAGTTGCATATTAATGATATTCATTTCACAAAAATAAACGAACTTATAACGAACCGTTTTCGCTTGTCCAATGAGGTTCCTTATAATCGAATATTACTGTAATTGTTATTATAATATCTTAATTATTTCAACAGTATATTTTCATAAAAGATTACCACAGCTTATTCACTGACCAGCCGACCATCTTTACTACAGCTTATTCACCCACCTTTTTTGGGTACTCACACTTCATCTACCGCGCGTGTGTCCTCGTACACAGGCAGGCAGTCAGAGGACCAATCATGCGCCGGCTTGATGTATTCTCCGCCTATTATGCTTCTATTTTTTTATTTACTATCCTTTTCGTGTTGACAATTTTATTATCATTTGAAATTGTTGCAACATAACGCGTTGCCCAGTTTGGGTTCTTTTTCATTTAATTTTTACTACCCGAATGAGCGTCGACCGTACCCGAATCACGTAATTGCACAGTAAAAACTAAAAAATTTATATTACTTTTTTATTTTTTCAGATAAAAAAACGAGATTTGGTATGTTAGTATATGACATAAATTAGGATTGATTGACGTATTCAATTGTTTTTGGTCACTTCCTGTTTCACCGGAAATGACTACAATTTTTGGTTTTTAAATGGCACCATCGGTATTTTTTTACTTTATTCGATAGAATATGAAATTCTGAATAGAATGACATATCATATGTCAATTTTTGACATTCTCGCTTAATAAAAAATTGTATTTTAAATTTCAATCTAGAGTGCCATGGCTATGTTAAAAACACTAATTCTTAATCAAGGGGCCTTGGAAAAATAGATTTGATGAACTAATGTTTTTAGTTTCTACTCCTGACCAGTTAAAAGACCAAACCAAACCAAATCAATTAATAATCAATTTTTTCAAATGGAACGAGGGTGGCTCGTTAGCATATTCGGAAAAAGCATTTTTTTATGAATAATTTGATACCACACACATAGTATTTCGAGTCAAATTTTCGTTATGAACCGCATGTTGTAATTTCAAATAAACCATATGAGAAAATGTCAAAAGTTGACATATCATATGTCATTCTATTCAGAGTGTTATTTTTTATCAAAAATAGTAAAAAAATACCGGGGATGCCATTATTTAAAAATAAAAAGTTGTAGTAATTTCCGGTGAAACAGGAAGTGACCGAAAACAATTGAACACGTCAAACTAACATACCAAATCTCGTTTTTTAACTGAAAAAGTAAAAAAGTTATAGGGGTGAGCCACTTTTCAGACGCACCCAGTATATGACAAAGCTAGGATTTTAATATTATTTAAACGCGATCAACATGAACGGTGCCTGGGATTGCGTGAAATACAAAGCCGGAAAGTTCTAATTTCTACCGTACCGAGCGCTGCTGTCGACATTTTGAAAATCAACTGAAATGCACCAAGCTCGTAGTACCTTTTGCTACTCCCAGAATACTATTATTATTACATACTTTACTTAAATATTGTCACTATCCTTCCCAGGCTCAATACCTAGATGCGCAACTAATGTAAAACAAAAAAGAAGAGAACTGGAACACTTTTTTTTCTACGGAATTTTCGAGTGTTTGACGTGACAACGTGGTTCGCAAACTATTATTTTGGTGTTGGCTGCAGGTCGGCTAAGTGCATATGCACAGGAAAGTGGAGTCTGTTCGGGTGTTGGCGCTGTTCGTGCTCCTGCTGTATTGCGATGATCGTTCGTAAACTTTTCAGATACATAATTACGGGCGTAAAAGATAAGGGACAGGACAGCTGATAAATTTACAGGTTCTTAACTTATCTTTGAGATTTAAAATGTTGTATTTTACCGTTATTTTATTATCTCATACTTAAAAAATGTAGTTGTGTAAATTCCATGAAAGTAGGCTGCATCATAATCTGAAATCTAAAGTAGCGATGAGCGAACTTTTTTGATAACGGACCAAATCTAAAAATGTTATGCAAAACTTGTGAAAATCAAAAATAAATAATAATTTACTTTTTTTAAAAAAATTTCTGATCGGTAATCACAAAAATACAAACTTATAGACGAGTTTGCAGTATTCTCTTCACAAATGGTGTCTTTAATTCTATACGCTGAACTGTTCGGGTCGCTCTCTTGGATCGGTTAAAGCACAGATTATACAGATTATAATCTTTGTTTTTTCTTTATTGTTTTTCGTGGCTCCAATTGATTCCAATTTTCGGAATCGGGCACTAGTTAGGTTACTAGCATAGAGAAATATAAAATAATAGAGTTGTCATTTCTATAGTCAAAAGTAGGCAACACGTTTAACGAGGATCGATTGTAGCGCACCCTTGAGCCCTAACTGAACTAATCGAAATATGACAGACGTTATCGGTAAAATAGGTACCTGCATTGCCTACCACAAAAAAGGCGGGCTGTTTAAATGTGAATATAAAATTTTATGTATTTTTAAAAATATTACGAAATTAAAACTGCAAAAAATATAATGAAAGTTTATTTTTAAAAACGGAATATTTGAAAAGTATAAACTATTGTACACTTTTCAAATGCTTACAGTTAAATGCTAAATTAAATTTGATAATATAAAACATATTGCTGAATTAACTTCGAGGGGTAAACTCCTGATGAATTTCTGTACACTAATGCCAAAGTAATGCCAAATAATTTAGTACTAATACCAATAATGCCACGAAAATGCCAACATCTTGTACACCACCAAAATACACCAGCGGTTTACCCTTCGATTTACCTATAGTATTATAAACCGTA